TATAGACAATAAATATTTGAAAATGTACCAAAGTGAATTGTTATGGAAATTCCTAAAGCGTTTGCTTAGCAAATATTTGCAGTAAATATAGGATCATGTAATAGATTCTACTTGTAGTGTATTTGTTTCCACAGCGCTAATTGCTAGTCGCACAAATTAAAGAATTTAATGTGAGTGAATAAAAAGCAAACACTTGTCGAGGTGACTTTGGACTAAGAGCTTGGTAATAACTTAATATACTATATATAATATATGGCATATATTTTTCTAACTATTCCAATTTTTAAAGTAAACCCCGACTGTCAAACAAAAACAGCTCTCTGGGATATATATGTTATTATATGTATGTATCATAAGTGTCACATGTCAGTATAATTTTTGATGCAATCAACATGTTTCATTCGTAAAATTTTCCGATCGCATATTGTTACACTAACAAAGGCTTGTTTAATGGCGTTGACAAAGTATTTAATAAGATTTTAATGACGTTATATTATTAGCTCACTATTTTGTTTAAGTAAGTTTAATTGCTGTTCAATTAATGTAGTCTCTATGTGATGTATTTTATCACAGATCGAAGAGGGCTAAGTGAATATTCGTTATAAAAATTTAATGTTAGCAAAGTTAGATTTGAATGCCGTAAAAATGTTCACCAGTGCTCTTTTGAGATAATTTTCCGGCACTTCTAACTCATGGAATGGTTTGATCAAATGTCCGTTATGAATTAAAAAAAATTTAGACATTTTGCTTAAATATTTTACTAAGCAGGCAATTAGTGCTATAAATCGTATAAAACGTTGTCGCTTCCAGCTACGATTATTGTGTAAACTAGTTCAAATTATGGCGACTTTGCCTACCAAGTATTAGGTAGAAACATAAAATGAACTGGTGCTCTCAAAGTCATTTATTTTAAAGTTTATAAACAGTTTCCATACAAGGACTTGATTTTGATCGGTCAGTTGTTGTGGCATCAATATGCTATAGAGATTTGATCTGAACAATTTTTTCAGAGATAATACCGTTTTCTTGATCAGTAATCCAGGTCAAATTTGAAGAAAATATCTTCTTTTGACTTGATATTGATCGGTCCGTTTTTTATAACAGCTACATGCTTTAGCGGCCCGATATCGGCGGTGCGTGCAAAATTTCAGATCCATACCTCAAAAACTGAGGGACTAATTCGAATATATATAGACGGACAGACAGACAGACGGACATGTCTGAATGTGCTCAACTCGTCACACTGGTCATTTATATATATACTTTACAGGGTCTCTAACAAAAACAGATTTATAATAGATTTAATGCGCTTTCTCTATACATGATGCCTTACTTCAGGAGGTTTCTGGCTAAATATAATTGTCAAGTATGATAAAGATAGAATCTAATCTATGATAAGTCGAGCCAATACTGTGAAGCATTTCTGCAGTAAACTTTGGGAAAGCTAATACCTCATTTATCCGTAACCATTTACCCAGACCCACCTAAATTGGAAAGGTATGCAAGATGCACAAGCTGACGGAACACTTAACCTCCTAAAAATTTTGATCTTCGTTAAAAAACTTACAGACACTTTCGCTTAATTGTTTTCAAAAGTTAATTTTTTCCGAAAAGTAATATTTATATAACAATTTCACTATCTAAACTTTATTTTCACATAACTACATATGTTTAATCGATATATCATCACGACTAAATTATAAGTGGGCACAACGTTCTCATCTGAGTATTCTACTAACAACATTTTTATTCAAAGGCTATTGCATTTTTTTTTTCATTCTGAAATGTGTTACGCATATATTTTCCGCATTGCCAGCATTTAGAAGAACACTTGCTCAGGCATGTAATGAAACCCTCCTGCCGCTTTTCATCCGCTCTTGCTCCAACACGCTTTGAGTACGCACGCTACGCAGCTTAGAAATTGAATGGGCACTTATTTGTAGACAAGGTCAGGTTCAGGGAGCAAACTAGAACCAGTTACATACATACACACTACACACCTATATGTATATATTATAAATATATATATATTTTACGTAGTGGTGTATGTACATCAAAAAATGCGTTTAAGCAATAAGCCAACGAAACGAACAAAACCAATAAAAATGACAAGAAAGAAAAAAATAGCAATAAAAAGTGGCTGCGGAAGCTGTGTAACTTAACAAACTGGTTTCCAAATTGTAAAGCATTGAGCTCGATAGAAAAGCTTCCAAGTATGTATTGTACATACATATATATGTGTGTACCTCTCAACTAAACTTAAAGTGCGCTTAGGCCGTGCGGTCGATAAAGCAGTTGCAACAGTGAGTTTGAATTTTATGAGTAGCGCAAAGCAAGAGAGTACAAAATTCTTCACTCATTTCACATTTTTGACATTTAACGGTAAATGAAACTTTGCCAAGCCTTTGATAGGAAGCTTTACCGGCACAATTATCTCTTTCTAATTGACGTGCTGACATAGTTTGTACCCCGGCACACAAATGCCGTGATAATCAGAAGATAAATATAAGTATATACACAAATATATATTGAACTGCGTTACAAAAACAAAAGCAATAATTCGGTGTCATTATTCCGACTTTCAAGCGCAGCGTCGTCAATTTAAGCTATCGATTTTCCATTTTGCGGTTTTGACACCCAACAAATCATTTACCGTTGCGATCGACATTTCCGGACGCACGTGTCAAAGCGGCTGCCGAAATGCTGCACATGATATATAAGTTCATACATATGTATATATGTACATGTATATAATCATACTCACTAGGGTGGAGCGAAAAAAAAAATTCAGTCAAATTTGTAAATGCATCTAGTTTTTTAAACATCTGCATTCACTTTTAAAGTAAAGTTTCGAGTTAATATTACTTTAAAAGTGATTGGGCCTCTTTTTCAAAAATTTATTCATTTACTATCTGCAAATTTTACCTTAGCAACAAAAATAACTTTTTTTTAGCTCCACCCTAATACTTACGCATAGGCATATACGTAAATGATATATGTGCATAAAACCGCATAAAAGGTCAGCAGTACATTCACATATAAGTATATATCCACATACTGCATACAAATGTACATATATCCCTACATACATACATGTATATCAATTTATATTAGTAGTGCATTTCGCATTACGGTTGGTAGTTAACATACAGGTAGCCTAAAATCAGTAGTAGAGATATCAATCTGCAATTTCACTCGCACTTCAAATTACCAACCATCTACTTGTAGAATCAGGCTGCTCATAACTCACTTCATTCCGTTTGATTCCCAACAATATCATTTACAACAAACACAGCATCTTTTTTTTAGAAAAATTCGCTAAGTGAACACCGACCGCAAACAAGTTGACTTGTGCTGACGCTGTCTGACTTCGCGGTGGCTCACTCGAAACTAACGGAATAATTGTCATTCATTCACTGCTGGCTAACATAGGCGCACAATGTTTTGTTGCTAGTTCAGTATAAATAGAGTTTTGAGACGAAGTTTTTTTTGCGGAGGGGATAATGTGGGATAACTTAAGCGATATTGGCTCGTTCTTTTTTTATCTTTGTATGCTTGAGGTTCTGGGTTAGTTGGATCTTATACGTTAGCAGGCCCTAATTTCCAACAAAGTTTTGTGAAATTAAAATATCAGAAAAGCCGGAGAATAATCGCCTCTAAAAATTGGCTCTCGGGTTTTTCAATATACCTCATAGGACCATGAAAGTATTCATATATATTTTATATTTTATTCACATATTTTATAATATATTTTATAAATACTTCATAGCAAGCTTATTCAATATCTCTAGTAGAGACCGTAGGTACATATCAGCGAATATTTCTTGAAAGTACCTTTGCTTTGCGCCAAAGAGATCTCGATATTTTTTTCGTTAGCCATTGTAACCGGAGCGAACCCAGATTTGGATATAGTGAAGAACTGCAACCACAGTGTTCTCTGAAAATGTTTAAAAACATTTCGTATTGCGACCACAATAAACTTATTTGATTTAGCGAAAAGAAACTCCTGTGTTACTGGAATATAAATATTTTTTATTCTCACTGACCAAGTCAGAATTGTGCTAACCTAATGCTAGTATAGAATATAGGACTGTCTACCCTTCTGTAAGCTTTCGGGCTTTGTTGTATTGTGTTGTTGCAACGCTGTCATTGATTTGGTGAATACAAGCTGCCGAATTTTGCCGCAATAGCAACAACAACAAGCAGAAATAACAAGAGAAACTTGCAGGTAAATATAACCACAAATTCACTCTCGCTCGTCACAAATACATACGCACAAACAGATGATAACTGTGAGAATGTATATATATATATATATATATATATTAGGGTGGAGAAAAAAAAAATTTTTTTTGTTTGCTTAGCCTGAGGGTAAAATTTGTAGATTATAAAAAGAAGAAAATTTTTGGAAAATAAAAATTTGTTTAACATCTAGAGGCGGTCCACTCATTTTTAAAGTAAATTTCAAGTAAGTGTCTAGAAGCTGTGGGAGTCCTCCTTCTGGCCAGTTAAAAGTTATCAACTTAAAAACAAATTTTTGCGGTCATTATTGGAGTTTTAAAAAAAAATCTTAAGCGACAACATGCTGTCCTTAAGCGTTAAAATATATTTTGAGTCAGAAACCGTCAAATTCGGTAATTTTTATATATTTGTAAATGTGAAGAGTTTAAACCAAAAAAAATTTTTTGTCCAAAAAAAAGTTTAACTCAAAAAGTGTGATGTTCAAAAAAAAAAAAAAATTCGCTTCACCCTAATATATATCTATAAATATATATACATATATATGTATATCTCACATCTTTGCCGCTTTGCTTCACATTTAGTTTATTACTTGATATGCGTGTATGTGTGATTTATGCCGTTCTATTTCCACTTGCATATGTGAACTCTAATACTCTCATTTATATATATATATGTGTGTGTGAGGGTGTGCGCGCGCGTTACTCGTTTTGTTCGTTTGCAAAATGCGGAAAATACAATTTTTAAAATTTCATTTTTAGGTTAATGGCGAAGACGTGTTGGGATTGCGCATAACGGATATTGCAAAATTGGTTCAAGCCAAATCAGGACATGTCACGTTGCTGCTTTGGAACTGTGGTAGTGATTTCAAATGTGACCCGGAGGTAAATTTTGCATTCACATTGCATCCTCACAAATAGTTTTATATATTTGCCTTCATATGTGTATGTGTGTTTGTGATTTGATTTAAGTAAATTATGACATAGTTTGTGTGGAAATAATAGTAAAGTGAAAGCAAAAACTGCTTAGTCTACTTTGCAACCGCTTTATTTTGCAGTTGAAAAGTCATAAGGCTTGCTGTAAGCCAAATTGTTGTCGATATATGAATAAAGAAATAAAGCAATAGGTACAGGAAATAGTGAAAATGGAATGGCGACTGGAATTTAATAAATAATTTCTAAAATTTTGTAGAATGGAAGTAGAAATTTATAATGAGCAGTAAATTTAGTTTACAACAGGTAAAGACTTTTAAAATATTTAATTTTCAGGATAATTTAGTGTATTAAAGTTCAGAGTAGCCACCGTTTTGTGGCAAATAAAGACTTGGTATTTATATATAAAAGGAAAGGGCTTAAGTTATAGGCAATATATACACTCTGTATTCTTCTTCTACTCTTAGAAAAAATTTAGAAATATCAAACGAAACTTACATATAAATTTTACACTTCCAGTCAATCGATTTGGTTATAAAAATAGCTTTGAGATTAGCAAACACCCGGAGACTTTCGCTTCACATACAAAAGTTATGTTCAGATTTTTAGGTTATTTTCTCGAGCCCATGCAGGGTCTTCCAATCTATATTTACATTTTTTACCCTATTTACGTTATTGGAGCTCTACTTGTGTCTTAGCTGAGTTGGCTTAATTTTTTGAAAATTCTATTGTGTTAAACACTTTGGAGTACCGATCGTACGACAGAGGGAACTGCGTATATAAAACAGACCCTAATTTCTAACTCGCCAATAGTTGCAAACTAGGTCATAAAGTAAAAAAAACTTTACCACTTAATATGTCACTATTTTATTTAATTAAAAATCTGAACACAAAAACATCTCAAGTAAATATTTTGTTTCCCCATCTGCTTGTCGGATACTCTATCGCAAGGGAATATTTAATATGCGGCATTACTTATACGAAGAAAAGTAGATCTGCTAAAATCTTATATCTTAGAGCGGTTTTTTCTCGGTTGACCCCTTACCGTAGAAAAAATAAAGTATGTTTAAAGATGGCATGGACGTACTAGATGATGACCTAAATATTGCGAAACTGTTTAAGAATACTTCATTAGTAAGAAATTGTTGTATATGTGACATAAGTATCTTGAGAAATTCAAAAATTAGCAAAAACTCGCACATTCGAAAATTACAGGTACTTGATTTTCCCTATAAGGTCTTAGTGTATCTACCCTACAGCGTAGACTAAAAACCAAGCAATAATTTGTTGCTAGAATAACATTAAATAGCATAAAGTATTTGTTCTTTCTTCTTTGAACAGGATTGGTACTTTGCCTTAGCCCATAATCATTTAACATATAATTAATATAATAGCAGACGTCCACCAGAAACACTATGTCGTTATCTTGACAATTGAGAATCACTTACAACAGAAAGGTATTAATTCTGTTTTACAGTTCATTAAAACCTTAAAATTTAAGACCGCAAAATAAAGGATTTACCTTAAAATGAAGAGTAGTCTATTAGGAAAATATAAAACTTTCTCTTGACAGTCTGTAGTACATTATTATTGCTACTCTGAGAAGCATACCATTTTGAACAACCAACCAACCATTCATCTTCTACATTTCAGATTTTAAGTCCAACATCATTTCATTAGATATACTCTAAAAGGAAAAAAGATTTTCACTTGCTCTGAACTAAAATTTAAAAAGCATATTATCTAAAGCAATCAACAAAAACTACCCGATAATTAATGACCAGTCGATAACAACACAATTCCACTCAGCATTCAATCACTTCATAGACTTTCAATCATTCATTCGAACTTCCTCACTTACATTATAAATAATTGCAACTCTTTATATTTTTTAACGCTCGTTCTCACTCTTGGTCAACTTGCCAACAACAACACCAACACACAGAGCATTTGCTGTGCGCCAATGCCACGCACACTCCAACGACTCGCCACCATCGTACAATCCATATTGACCATAATCGAGTGTCCCGTCTGCTTGGACACCATCGCACCGCCGGTAATGCAATGCCAGAACGGTCACTTGCTGTGCCTTAACTGTCGCATACGCGCCGAACGTTGTCCCATCTGCCGGGACCGCTATACGCCACAGCGCGCTTTAATTGCCGAGCAAATCTACGCAGCTATCACGAGCGCATACAATTTGTGTAACGGCAATGAAGACAAATTACGCCAGAAGTTATACGGACCGAGCGGAAAATGTGAAGTGAAAGTGCTGACTAGACGTTGGCGACGCGCCGAGGCGGCCAAACAAACGATTGATGACTGCGTTGCGCAAACGGAAGTTAGAACAGCGAGTATCTACGCAAAGCGGAGCTGGCTGAAACCGAAACAGGGAAACGGAGCGGCGTCATGTGCGGGTCAACATGTGGCACCCGGTGGTGGGCAACCGGGACATTTTAGCTTCACGAATGAAACGAACAACCCATCGAAGGTGGATACGCAGACGGCAGACACAGCTGAGGCAACGGAAATGTGTGCTACGAAGTGTGCGAGTAAAAGAAAAAAAATTCTAATGAAATTATGGCATGCTAGAGCCACAACCATGGAGAATATCTCAACAAGTGTTGCAGCTACAAGTGGACAACTGAATGGCAAAGTTATGGGTATGAGCAGCATTGATAATGGATTGTCGATGTCTGTTGGTGCAACGACCCCAGCAACAGTGACGCAAATTCATTTGGAACCCTCCAGTGCGCGTCCACACCAGTCAACGCAATCCATTTCGCATCGATCTGTGCGAAATGCCAGCAGCGAAGTGGAAACGGTGATGAAAAATGCACAAAACCACTCGACTTTGAGTGACAACAATGGCGGCGGTGGCAGCGACGGCATGTGTGAGGCGGTGGAAGACACAGCAGCCGAAACGAAAACTCCCGCATTGTTAATGCGCACACAACAACAGACCGAGACGAGTGTTGCGATGATAATGCCATTGAATTGTGCGACAACAAGAAAAACAATTTTAAATGCTACAACAACAACAAGTGAGCTGGCGCAGGTAAATGCCGTGTCAAAGGTTTTCACGGCAACATCGCCACCAACAGCAACACCGAATACAAATGACTCCACATCAGAGCGCGAAAACAAGCAGCCAACGGCCGAAGAAGAAGAAGAGGAAAAAGAAGAATTTGAAGCAGTTAAAGAATGGATAAATGGAGAAATATCGCCGATGCAAGAGCACGTTCAACCGCATTCACAATTGAGTACGTGGCAGCAGCAGCAAAATCAAAGGCAGCGACAGCAGCTTTCAACTGCCAACAGCTCAACTGACAGCCAGTCAACAGAGCCAACAGCAGTCAACGTCATCGCCATCGCCGTGGAACGTTGCCCGACCATGCTGCGAAGTCAACCGCCGTCTCAAAGCATATTTAATGACTACAAAAATAACAAACAGCATAAAATCTGCAATTGTCCATCATCCACGTTGCTCTACGTGGACACGCGCCGTCCCGCCAGCCGCACGCTGAGTTCTACCAGTGAATATTTAAATAAATTCTGCCAGCCAGCAGCAACAGATGCAGCGCTCCGTACATCTGCCGATCCGAGGCAGTGCAGCGAAGAGTGTTTGGCAAGCAGCAGGAAAAACTCCAACAACAGCATTGGCAGCAGCGGCAGTCGCAGTGACTTCACTGCTTCAGCGCTTTCACTTCTAACACCTGCCTCATCGCTTTCGTCCGGTGTGTTCTCCACTTCAGTGGATCCAAACGATTCAACGGCGTCAATTGAAGCATGCCGTGCGTCGCCTGATGACGCTACAGAAATTACTGCTATTACTGTGCACAAAAATGCGTTGTTATCGCCAGTGGACAGCTTGGGACAGTCATCATCAATAACTTCGTCGTTGCGTTCTTTATCGTCTTTGGCATCATCGCTCTTTCCATCAACGGCATCAGAGAATGCGCCGCTTCCCTTAATGGCGGCTGCAAGCGCTGAAGCGTGCCTCTCTGATGTCGCACTTAATTCTACTTTCATTTCTTCGGAGCAATCTGCTCAGCTCTACCCTACGGCAACAGCAGTCACACCTTCGCATTTGTCCAATATGAAATCTACATTTTGGCGCCAACATTTTCATGAAGCTGAAGATGAACACACGAGCGGCGTGTTTCGTTGTCCTTGCGACGGTTGCGACGTAAGATTTAACGGTGAGTAGAATGTTGGTAGGTTTCGGTTGAATTATGTGATCAATAAGGACTCTTGTCTAATGACCACTTCCACTGAATATTTTGGTTCGAGTACAGGTCCCTGGAGGTAAAGTTCTTCCTTAGTTTCGATTATAATAACCTAACTTCAATCTTTAACTATTTGAAGCAAGCTCGGGCGAGCCAAGTTCGAAACTTCTTGATTTTGTTAAGATTTCTTATCCGTTTACCGATATTTATAGGATAGCAATAACCAGAAGAGCGGAAATCTTAATATTGGGTTAAGGAGTTAGATATAGAACAATCTTATACAGTTTCAAAAATTGTTTACACATCGAGGGCCAAAGTGAGGTTAAAGATTATGTTTCTCCACTATACTAAGTTTGCCACGAAGCTTGTAGCACTCAGAAAGATATATCGGAGACCTTGTAAAATGTACAAGTATAGATAAAGATTTAGCCATGTTTGTTTGTTTGTCTGTATATACGCAAACTTGTACTGAGCTATGTATAGATGTACCTCAGTTTTTGGGATATCGATCTAAAATGTTGCATACGTTCTTTTCTCCCCAAAGAAGCTGCTCGTTTGTCGGAACCGCCGATAACAACCATTATAGCGTGTAGCGGTCATACAAACTGAAAGATTGAAATCAAGTTTTTGTATGAAAAGCGTTTTCATTTGACAAGAAATCTTCATGAATTTTGGCATGGGTTATTGCCTAAGGCAATGGTGGAAGCTCCGCAGAAATTGTTAAGGTTTTTTTGCGTTACTTTACGCTACAAGAGACTAGTGATTTGGGTTACAAAGCTTTTGTAGAGAAATCATCGTTTCTTATGAAGAGATTGCGGCAGTTCTAAATATCACATAAGATCAAATTCTTATTCTCTTCTGGATCCTTTTTAAATTGTTCGAACATTCAATCTAAATCCGAAGATGTGTGAGCTTTTTCACGGAGAGCTTTCCCTGAGTCTTCGAAAATGAATGCCAAATGCATTGATTTTTCCAAACTACTTTTAGCAAAAGCAAAGATACAATACTTCCATTGTTAGAAATGTAGCTTCCTGTAAGTTTATCAACATTTTCTTGAACATTGCGACAGCGACCAAGCCTCTTCGTTTCGAAATAGTTTGACGAAAGATTGTGTGTTCGCCGAGCACTTCGGCGCATGCTAAAAGGTGTTCGGCTGATTATACCACAAACCAAAGCTTTAAGTTTGGGGTTCGGTTCGGTTTATATGGATCATGACTAAATATATAGATAGACAAGGTTTGAATGGTGCCCTGAGGCTTTCTGAGGTTGCAGTAAGTGAGTTGAGAAGCTTTCTTAATTTATTTTGGTGGAAGACTGGGTCTGCTCGTCATTCCGCGTCCTTTGCATTAACCCCTTTTTTGATTATAGACCCTAACTTTGGACAAATTCTTGGGCGATTAGTTTCTACATTCTTTAGCTTTTCAGGGCACTATATCTCATTTCACCAACTACTTAAAATCTAATGTTATTAAAACAAATTTTAAATTGCTCACCACATTTGGTATAGTTTCTTAGAAAGAGATTTTCTTTTCATTTGAATTTTGAATTTCTTCATTCACTGTCTTGTTTATAGTCTCATCACAGTTACAGCGACATGTCAAAGTGGAGCATCGCTTACCAATATTGCGCTTCGCTGGTGATGAGCGCGTTCGTCGCTGTACCACTGGGGCAGCCTCTGCCGGATGCGGTGCTTATACTGGAAGCGGGCGCAAACGAAAGGGCAAACAACAGCAGCAACAACAATAACAAAAACAATCCGGATCACTGCAATGAGGACAATGCGCTCAGTGATGCATGGCGTGGAGTGGACCAGAAGGACAATGTGGATTGCGTAGACGGACCATGCGCCAAGGACAACAAGGATGTGCAGGATATGCACAAAGCCGGACAAGATATGGGAGGAAGCAGGGTGAATGCGTACTCAAGGCATATTGAGAAGCAACTAGAGCAAGCTAGAGAATGTTGGATTAGAATAAAAGCGCACGAGTAAGTGTACGAGTGCATCTAACGGCACTTGCGAATATATGTTTATGTGTGTGTGTGTATGTTCCATATGACCCTTATGTATTGACAAGCTTCTGTGTTGCTCACAAAAGCGGCTGAAGTGCAAAAGAAGAGAGGGGAAATAAAAAATAACCAAAAAGGCGCCACTTCAGCGAAATCCTTTGCAACAAAAAGACAAAGGCGTCTATTGAGAAATGTCAAAGTGAAAGAGTAGAATTGCAAAAAGAAGGCTTCAAGTGCTTGCCATTGCTGCTGAAATTGCATAATTTTCTAACCGCTTAACATCTGCGGCAACGAAGTCACGCTTTTAATAGCTTAAGTGTATTAAAAGCACTTTAAAATTGTTTTACAACAACAGACCATTGTAAAACTGTAAATTTATAAAGTCATTAAAAAATTACATCACATTTTCCTTCAACAAAATTTAATAAACACACTTTTTTATAAAAACTTTCACATCTCTTTCAGAGACTTCATTCACACGACGGCGTTGTTGCAAGCAACCGCAGCGGAAAGTGCTGATTATGTGTTGAAAATGCGATTAAGTTGTGTTGGTGATACGACACCGACGACAGAAGGACCCACAGCGGCCATCGAGCTGTAACTGGTGCAACGGTCACCATCGACGTGGCGTATACAGCGCCACACCGTGGCTGAGCTAAACGCAACCACAACAGAACACTGTTAATGCTGCAACAAATAGTAATAATAACAACAAAAAGGCGTTTGCTTGCAGCAACATCAGCATGCAACCAATACAACAATACAAACAAAACAACTGGCTGTTAGAGCCACCAGCACTTTGGGCACGGCTTAATGCCACATCGGCGGCAGGCAATGGTCCTATACACCACCAATAGGAAAAACAACAACAAGCGCGTTCATGACTACAAAGTTCAAAAGTGAAAAACCACAACAATAACACTATATTCTATATATCTAAAGCGCAAGTTTAGTTGGCCCATAATTATATTTTTATAAAAAGTATTTAGTAAAAATAAGCCAAATTTAGCAAACACTCTACGATAATCCTTAAGCGTAAATGAGAAAAATGATTGCTGAAATTATTATATACATTAACATATATACATATATATATATAATAAAAAGTAAAGAAGTAAATTCTATAGAAACCGAATTTTTTCCACAATCAATATATTTTTTTTGTAATGATTGTATTTTTGAGAACATAGCTTAAAAAACCTCTGTCTAGACCTGTATAACCTAGCCTTTGTCTTAGATCTAGTCTATTTCTTATAGATACCAGTAGTGGATAAACAGGCCAAAAAACTTTTACTCTGTAATTTTAAGCCTTGATAATTAGTTTCGACGGCGGATGGAAAGACTCTTAGTTCCCGTTTTCTTCAATAACTTGTTGCCATTTGAAGCAGTTTCATAATGCCACTCTCATAGAAATCCTCGTCCCTGTGGCCTAAGAACTAGACAGTCGGTTTACACAAGCTGCTCTTAAGGCGAGTTTTTCACAACCAAAACCATTAAATAAGTAATCCAAGATAAATAAGTAAGGTGGTTGCAAAACAACCGCCCAACCAAGATCCCGGATATTCTACCGAGTCACTATCGACATGTATGGCCTGGCGTTGTTCCGAATTAACGCAGTTCAATCCCTATTGGCCCAAGCTTGCCGCTCCAGAGCGGTTGCTTCCTTCAAGCGGTTCAATTCTTGACAATAATGATCCGAAATAGGAGTTTGGCCGTAGGCGACATCTCATAATAAATCACTATCTGCCAATCTCACCAAATACAAAGCATAACCTTCTTGACAGTCATTCCTGCCTTGGTCACCATATGCACCGATTCGACCTTGACCCTTTTTCACTTAATGTTGTCGTAAGTGATCGTCCGCTTCAGAAATGAATCGATTTTGTCGCGACTCAACAATGATTCGCTGGAGGAAATTTGGCCCATGAGTTTTCTTTTTTGCGTTAACTACTTGTAGTGTGGCACTCATACATCGAACTTCTTTTTGTATCCAGTCTAATATAAATAGTTCCAAATGGATTTTTGTGCAAATTTTCAGATCCATGACAATTAAAACAGTGCCCACATGATGGTTGGATTAGACGATTTTCATAATTTTATCGATATTTTCGACAATGTGTTTGGCTGTTACAGAATTACGACTAAAAGCACTATTAAATTTTCAGCAGCGTTTTTTCTTTTATTGTAGAAAAACTGTAAATTATGTCGTATTTTCTTTTCGCTGGTATTTTTAACGCGTACACAAACAATAATGATTGAAGCTGTCTTAAAACTGGCGGGAAAGTTTGTTTAATATGAGATGCAGATTACTAAAGCTATATATTGGAAAAATAATTACTTTTTGCTTATCAGAGCTTAAATCATAAATGTCATCAACGACTAACATACTCGAATGATCTGAAAGAAAGCTGTTACAGAGAGACTGATTCAAAAACACAATGCTGCCTATGTTTACTTGTTCTTACACTAAAATCCTGTTGCCACAAAAATGAAAATAGGGATATACATTTTTGTTTTTGCATTTTGAACTTAAGAATATAAAGAAGAAATATATGCAGAAAATTTGAACTGAATTACCTATTAAATAAATGTGTCGGGTGAACGAGGACTTTATTGGCTATGTGTAGACTCCTTATTTATATCGCCCCAAAAAGTTTTCTTTATCTTAACTGTTAGTTCCCCTCTCAACATGTGCAGCGATTGTGGTGGCATGACCATTCCTTCGTGCTTTGCTTAGAGTAACGACTCGCCATTGCAACCGAGATAAATTTCATTGACTGATTTTGCATAAAATAATTCCTTTGAACCAATTAATATTGTTAAACCGCCACGAAATATTGACAGCTGCGTTATGGTCAAAAGCTCTGAGGGTGACACGCGCTTTCAAGCGTTGACGTATGTCAGTGGACGTTGCTACCGCAAACACAACTTGCAACCGTGGCTGTTATTTAAATAACTGTGTATAAATGGCGCTCGAGCTGAAGCTGGAAAAATCAAAAAATAAAAAATAATAAAAACTGCAACGCAAATTGCAAAGAAGCTCAATATTGAATCGAAAACTGCAGGCGGCGTTGTTTTGTGCGCGCCAAGCCTCTTGTATGCAAAACAATGACATGTTGATTAGTTTTCGTTCACATCCTTTCGTGCACTCCTACGAGCACAGCACACCGTTAAAATCAATTGCAGTGTTAAACGATGCACACTACATATATATTGTGTTGTAAATATCTATATTAGGGTGGACCTTAAGAATACAAAAATTTTTTTATCAGTTTTCCTAACCTCAACACCTTTATCCTAATTATAAACAGATATGGTTTTAGATAAAGTTGTGTTAGGTTTTATGGCTGAAATAACTAAATGCTAGACCTTTCGGAAACAAGAAAAATCCTGCAGATGAGTCTCATGGCTAGAAAAACCTTATGAACGCATCCCAGATCTACTTTGGCTCATAGTTTCTTCTAGTTTACCTGGATGGTTGAAAGTGTGAAATCCAAACAGCTTTTGCTTTCAGCTCGCAAAGGTGGTCAATAAAATTCTTGAGAATTCCTCCTCGTCTTACTTCAAACAATGAGGGACAGTCCTAAAGATATTGAGATAATTCCTCCTTTGCTTCTTCCAACTAAATTAGACACTGATTGGACAATGCCCAGCTAAAATCTTTTCTGCTAAGGAAAACCCATCCTTGCTAAAAGCGCAGAGCGAATAACGAATTATGGTGTAGATATAAGTTGTAATCCTGAGACAGTTAAGGGTCCTATTAAGCCCCACAAAATATACCTTTGTTACTCTACTATTGTCGAAATCGAAACTTTTTGATTTTGTACCCAGTTGGAAATGACTACGGTAGTCCAAACATGACGCTGTATTTGTTATTTCATCTACAACCGTGACCAAAATTTGTGGCTTAAACTAAAGATTTCAAGGGAGATTAAAAAAAAATATTTTTCACAAATTAAGAACCATCCTAATATATGTATATACAATAGAAAACCATATACAATAGCTTTATAAATATAGCGTAGATTTGTAGGCATGTGGGTGGTAGTAGGCAAAGCAATCGTGCGGCTAACCTACAACTCAGTTAACCACTCAATCCGCGTCTGTTAACCAACTGCCATTAGCCGAGCGTGTCAATTGCAACTGCAGCGCCGATAACTGGCGACCACCACTAACTAAATAGCAAAAAGCAAATACAACCGCGCCACCCCACTCTTCATTTCTGCATACGTTCGTCCGCTTGTCCATTCGCCGGATTAATCGGTCATTATGCTAACGTTGCAACCGCACTAAGAGCACTTTCGCCCCGCTCCCCGCCTGTCACGGCTCACCACCTCGCAATCAACTGATTATAATGTCATCAAAACCGGAAGTGGCAGTTTAATTTAAAAGCGATAATTGAATTTTATTTCTGCACTTTTTCCCCTTGTATTTGACGCCATTTGTGGGGTTAAATTGATTTTTGCGGGCTAATGGGCTTTGGCGGTGCGTTAGCTGAAACTGCCGTGCCGTAAAAGAAGAAACGAATTAAGTGTAATTCAAAGCGTCGAACAGAGCGAAGAAAAAAGAGAAAAGTCTTGCTCGGGAAAAAATGAAGTTATAATTGCATTTGGAGAGTGAAAGGTAGCGGTTGAGGGAAGGCGCCGCATTAAATTTATATTGAGTGCAATTAATTGCTTCAGAATGAGTGACAGTTTGTAAGTCTGTGTGTGATGGTGTACATGGTTATGTTGACATCAGTTCACTGATTTCAGGAATAAGGCGGTGCAGTGGCAACAGGTTTGTATCCAGCTATTTACGCGATCTGCTGTTTGCATCGCAGGTAGTGTTTTTATATACTAAGAAATCCAAGGTAGAAAATATACAATAATATGTTAAAGTATTTGAAAAGAGCATTGTTTTCGTAAATTTTCTTGGTTAATAAACGTGCTTGGAAAGTTGTAAATATATAAGGAATATAAAAAACCATTCAGAGGTTGCAAGGAAAGGCTAAATTTATTTACACTTTGGTTAACTTTACTACACACCATAGCTGGCGTGAGCCTCTCTACAAATCTCCGTGACATAGTTTTCGGCACGGTATGTTATCCACTTTTCATAATCAAGAAAGAATTAAACTTGAAACTCATGGTTGAGGCAAAAATGGGATTAAGTCCAACCTGACACCATAGTGATAGGGAAACAAGAAAAAACCTTAACTTTGGCTGCACCTGCAAATTAAAAATATGCCTTACAAGAGTTTTGATAGGTCAGTTTGTACAGCAGCTATATGCGAAAATGGCTCAAAATCGGCGGTTGCGACAAATGAGCAGATTCTTAGGGAAAAAAGTGCAAAATTTTAGATCGATATCTGAAAAACTTAGGGACTAGTTCTCATATATACGGACAGACGGACGGATAGAAAGATGAACAGACAGACGGACATGACTGAATTTTCGCCTGACTGCTCGTCACGCTGATCATTTATATATATACTTTACACGGTCTCAAGGCATAAAAGCGAAAAGGCTTGACTAGAAATACCTGAAGTATTTTGTTACGTATACGCCATGTACCGCAATACGTTGAGCACTTTAGCCAAACTGAACGACATGCCAGTTCCGTCGACAGTCGGGTCTACGTAACCGGAACGGACCCGGATTTATTCCGGCCAAGGACTGTCAACTCGGCAGAATTCTGTCGCTACAACAGCAACAACAACAACATGCCAACGAATTGATATTTGTACAAGACTAGAGATTTTTCCCCCTAATTATTGGTCCTTAAGTCTGACAATTTTAAGGTTGAGTAAAATATTCTGAAAATCGATAATTCTTAACCATAGTAGCGTTGAATTTGATGTT